ATTTGGGAGTGAATTTGGGGATACAGCCTTTGAAGCCTTTTTCAATTTATATGTACAATACATTTTTAATTATTTTGGGTCTTCATTTATCTATTTTTCTTAAAAAGGTAGTTTCTCCCAATCCATCAATGGACCACAAGCATCTCAACTTGTACCATTTAATAGATAATCACAGGAATCCTACATCTAATTCCTTCCAACTGAAGATGGGGCCATCCGTGGCCGGACTGTCCAAATCGATGGTTTCCTCATTTATATAAAGATCATGGCATTCACGGAGGAGGAGGAAGGTGGCACAAAAAGTCCTTGCCTTTGGGAGCTAATTTCCACAAGTTGCCCCTAGATGGACGTCATGCTTGCTGATTTACAAGAAAATATATATGAAAATAATAAAGACATAATTTTTTACACAAATTTATTTATATGATTAATTTATTTTATTTTAATAAAACTGATAATATTGTAAATATTTATTAGAAATATAAAAAAATTATTTCTCAATTATTAGGGAAAAACTTCTTAAGCTCTTAAACTTACCTCGAAATATCATTTAAGCTCTTGAGCTGAAAACAAAGAAGATAAACCCTTCAATTCCACTCACGATACAAATAAATCATTCTCACAAACAGACCAAATGATATTTTATGTTTAATATCATCTGAAAGCATGAATATCCATAAATGAGAAAGGTTTATTTGTATAATTAGTGGAGTTAAAATGTTTTATTTTTAGTTTAAGAGCTTAAATATTATTTTAAAGTAAATTTAAGGGCTTAAGAAAAGTTTTTGCCCCATTATTACCCAGAGATATACATTTCCTTGGGTTCATTCTTAAATAGTTTATTTAGTGTAAGAGTTAACCAAAAAACTTTGTTTCGTATGAGAAAGTTGTCTTTTGTTGTCTGATTCTAAAAGAGATCCATATATAGCAAGAAACTTTGTGAAACAAACGAGCAAGATCTGTACGGAAACTGCATAAATTAACAAAATCTTTTTTAGTAAGTACAGTAATTAACACCTTTAAGGCCGATTCAATTGAAATTTTCCCCTTAAAAAAAAAAAAAAAACTCAATTACACTCAGAAAGGAGGAAGAGTGTTGCCTAGGCCACTCGCATTAGCGAAAAGCCCAACCAAGTCTTGCCGGTACGGCAAAAACGACCTTCTCCGATTGCCTTCTTTCAACGCCTTGTTTCTCAGGTAGAACAACTCATGCGCCGATAATTTCTCGGCTCCATTCACCTTCGCTTGGCTTGAGCTCTTCTTCTCCGCCGCCTTCTCTTCTCGGTTTTTGGTCGCCGAATTTGGCGAATGATTCAGAAACACTACGGACGTGTCCTTACTCTCGCTATTGCTCCTCCGAAGAAAATCTCGCAACCTCGGCCACCGTTTGGAGACCGATCCCGTCGATTTACTCTTCCTGCATCTGCTCGGAGACGATTCGACTTCGCTATTCGGCGTCCAAACACAGTACGTCCCCGGTGACACTCCTTCCAACTCGTCCGCCTCCGATGACGACGACGACGAGGGATCCTGGTCCTCCAAGAAAAGATTCCTCAACGGAGCAAGAAGAGGCGCCACGTCATCACCATCTTCAGATTCACGATCCTGATTTCGCTCGTCAACATCCAACAATAAATCGCGATTAAAAATCGGAAACGAAGTCGACGCACCGTGATCCACGCAGACAGAAACGAATTCGAAATCATCACCACCACCACCTCCTCCTCCTCCATTCAACTCATCCAACAATAATTCCGCAGAGAAAACTCCTGGATCCTCCCGATTGCACTCTAGGGTGACTCTGCCAGCGACGTCGACGAGTTTCCCGGAGGAGTAACAATTGAAGCTCGGGCAGAACGACGGCAGGTAACTCTGATCTTCCGGTAATTGAGTGACTACTGTATCTTCCATGGGAAGAGATCTTCTGAATTTCTTCGATGTATGGCGTTTAATGGATAAGCGTGCGGGCAAGGAAGGATATATATACATAAACAGAAGACGGTTAGAGGAAAGGAGAAGGTGAAAGGAAGTGCGTGAAAGTAAAATAAAATAATTGCGGAAAATCTGAGAACTCTGTCTTTTCTTTATTTTTGGGTTCTTTCACACGTTGCACTCGTTT